CGCGGGGGCGGCGGGCCCGGCTCGCCCGGCGGCCGCCACCACAGCCTGGCCGGGACCCGGGAGAGCCTGGCCGAGCAGGGCGGCGACGAGCTCAGCTCCCTCGGATCCGACTCCGAGGTCAACGGCGGCGGCCCCGAGGAACGGCGCGTCGACAAGTTCGGCTTCATCGTGGGCAGCCGCAGCGCCGAGGGGCCGTGAGTGGGACCGGGGACCGGGGAGGAGACGGGGGGGGGCGCGTCTCGGGGCTTGAGGACCCCGGGGGGAGCCGCCCTGGGGCCGCCACCGGCCCCTCAAGCCCCCACAGGGCCGGGCCGCGGGGCCTGGGGGCGGCGGGGCCGGTAGCCGTTCTTCTCGCCCCGGGGAGGGGTGGGGGGAAGGATTGTCCTCCGCCGCCCCCGGCTCTGACCCTTCGGGGCCGGTCCCCGGCGCCCCGCGGGCAGCCTGGCCCCACTCGCTTCCCCGGAAGAACCGCAGCGTGGGGCGGCCCCGGGGCTGGGCTGTGCCCCGGTTTGGGGGGGGGGTCCCGGGACCCCCTCCCCGTTTTCAGGGCAGCGGTTCCACGAGGTGATTAAATCCTCCCGGGACAGCCCTCCCCACGACCGTCCCCTAGGCTTTGCTGCCGCGGACACACGGCCGTGTGGAGGCCACGGCAGGCGGGGTGCGAACGAGACCCCCCTCTTCCCTAAAAAGCCATTCCCGCTTATCCGCCGCCTTCGCCATCTCCTCCTGCGTCGAGGAAAAAGCTGGAAAACGGCGTCCGCCGGGAGCTGCCAGCGGCGCCGAGGCCTCCTCGCCGAGGTCAGTGTCTGGTTACCTCCAGGCCTCTTCTCCTCCCAGCCCCGGATTCCGGCGTATTTTTGGCCACCGTCAAACGAGAGAGGCCCTGCCCGTTGTTCGGAGTCCTGCCAGAGGAACCGGCGTCGGTAGCCGCTCGGCGAAAGAGGTGCTTGGCCGGCCCTCCCTCCGCAGAGGAAGCCCTCGGAGGAAGCGGGGCGGGCAAAATTAGCTGCCAAGCAGCCCACGGCTGAGCCCCGGGGCGGTGCCGGCACCCAGGAATGCGCTTCGGTTTGCCGGCGAGCTGGTTCGGCAGCGTGGTTGGCGTTTGTCTTCTTCGACCGTGGTTTCGCAGCAACGCCCGGAGAAGCGGACGACGCCTGGGCCACCTGCTCCTCTCCAGCCGGGACATTACCTGGAGCGGGGTCCCCTGTGGTTTGCCCGCCTCGCGCGCTCTGGTGTCGGTTGCGCCCCGTTGCCTCGGTTTCCCCATCTACGAGGAACAAAGCGTTCACCCTTTTTTAAGCCTGCGGGCGTTACTCGGCCGGTCTGCGGGGGGAGAAGGCACCGGGGGTTTGACTGCTGGCGCTGGGCCAGGCGCATCGCTCGGGGGGATAAACCCCATCCCTGCCCGCTGGGGTCATGGCTCCGCGCTGTAGGAGCGGGGTGATCTCTCCTGCCTGGGGTGTTGCGCCCCATCCCGGCCACGTGCAGCGTTTTGGGGACACTTTGGATGTCCCATCTGTTGTCCTTGTCCTTGGGGTTCAGCGGCTCCCCCCTGCCCTGGGCTGGAGCTCCTGGTGCTGGAGGCGAGTGGCTGCTCCTGGGGGTGCTGACAGTGTGGTGGCTGCGCTCACTGGGGACTGAGCCTTCCTCCCGTGCCCCACAGATGCACTGGGGCACAATCCTGCCCTCCAGCGCTTTTATCCGTTCCCTGTCTGTCCAAGAGTGGATAAACAGAAGCGCATGGCCTCCATCCGTGGCTGGCAGAACTGGGGTCCCTCTAGCCAGGAGGGTTTTGGGGAAACACAGGGAAGGCAAGCAGGGTGTCGCAGCACCCACGGCGGGTCTGGGGGCACTGGGAAGGGCCGAGCTGTGGGGCTGTTGCCCACAGTGTGGGTGCGGAGGAGTGCCTTCCCTCCGTAGGGCATCTCACCACCTCCCGGCCTGGGGTCCCCCCACCTCATCCTCCTCGCCTCAGCCATCTGAAATGCCTCCGGTCCTCGCTCCGTGCCCGCTGCCAAGCAGCCATCAGCTGGTAACAGCTTCCAGTCTGGGCTGGCTGGGTTCCAGCAGGCCCACGGCCAGCTCCTGTATCCAGCATCCAGTGCTCCCGAGCTTCCCACGCCTTGGAGAGCCCCAGCTCCTCCGGCAGCCCAGGCTACCCGGCTCGGGGCCAGCGCACTCTCCATCCCCGTGCCGGGCTGTGCTGCTGGCCACAGAGCTGCTGGCCGTGCCCAGCCCGTGCTGGGGAGGGTGGGTTGGCCGCACAGAGCAAAGCGGATCCCTTCGGAGCAGGTTTGCTCTCCGAAACAATCGCGCTCGGCCCCGTCTGACCCGCTGCCGTGGGTGGGACCCGGCAGGGAAGGGCTGGGCAGGGAGCGGGGCAGTGCTGCCAGCTGGATGCGGCCCTGGGCTCTCCGTGGAGCAGCTTTCCGGCTCCTGACATGGAGAAGTCTGGGAGGAGGCAGGGTCTGTGTGTCCTGTAGTGGGGCTGGGTGCTCTGCACCTCCCTGGAGGATGCTCGGTGCCCAAGCCGCC